ACAACAACAACAACAACAACATGAGTCAAAATGGACTCAACAGCACACAAGAACAATGCAGTGTACTAAGTGCTGTAGATGATGTGGGCACCAGTGCCATGGGGAAGCGGGGGCAGACTCCAGACAGGATATGGCACTGAGGGGGTACAGCGCTGGGGGGACATGGCACTGAAGGACCACGGCACAGCACTGAGGGGAGGCCCAGGAAGGGCATCCTGGAGTCTGTCTTGGGGCTGAGCTGGCAGGTGGGTGGCATACACTGGTTGATCCCAGGGCTCAGCCAGAGGGAGCAGCTTCCGACATTCAGGCCTGCTTTACGCCTGATGGCCTTAGGCGGGGATATAGCCTTGCACTCCAAGCCTAAGGCAGGACAGTGGGACTCACGGGTCCCAGACACAATTTACTCTCACACACTACAGACAGGACTTTTGCCACAGCCGCTCACTGAAGGTAAAGGAGGAACTTCACACTGAGTCACTCTCACCCCCTCCGCCTGGGGCCTGTGCTCCCTCCTTGCTTCCCTTCCTGCTTTCGTTTGGATTTAAGGCACCCCTCCTATTCCATGCCAGGACACGGTCCCTTGCCTTAGATATCTGACAGTTCAGTGACTGTAGTGAGGGAAACAGATTTTAAACAAGTCACCCCAACAGCAACTGTGTGATCTCAGCCACTTCAGGGGCTCTGATGTGGGCGCATGGTGCCACCGTGAGAGATTCTAATGGGGAGACACGACTGTAGGGAGGTGCTGGAGGGACCGCAGACCAAAGATCTGCAGGACAACTATCTGGGGAGGGAGGGAGGGGAAGGGAAGCATGTAAGCAAAGCGGACAGCACGGGGAGGACAAGCTCAGAGGGCAGGAGGGACAGCAGCCAGCCACTGAGGTAAGGACCAGAGGGCAGGGGAGCCCAGTGTGACATGGGACTGACGGTGGCCAGACCACAAAAGCCACATGGGAATTCTGCCCTTAACCCAAGACAGGCTATTGGGGTGGAGGGTGGGGTGGAATAAGCAGTGAGTGGCTTTGTGTTCTGAAAGGGTGACTCTGGCCACCTGAGTAAAGGGTGGAGGGAGCCAAGAGTGGGTGCTAAGAGCAGTCAGGAGGCTGCTGAGACGGTCCAGATAAGAGGTGTCAGTCACATGGAACAGGTAGGGAGAAGGCATTTCCAAGGTGAAGACACAGGACTTGGTGATGGGTTGGAAAGAGGTAGCAAGGGAGAGGGGGGTATGGGAGTCAACTCCGGGGTTTCTGGCTTGTATAATTGGAGGGACGTGGTGCCGTTCGTGGAGAGGTCCCGGCCTGAGGTGGCTCGGGACATGCTGCACTGAGGAAGCTCGAGGCACCAAGCGGAGCCTCCTGGCCGGCAGTTGGATGGGCAGGTTTACAGTCCTGGGCTTCAGGGCACAGTTAAGATGCCACTTTTCTCTTCTGACACCGCCCCAGGCTGGGTGACGCCCTCCCTCCGCTGCATTCCTGCAGCATTTTCCCAGACCTCTCTCCACTGGAGCACTATCAAAGGTACTCTGGTCACAGGCTTAGGTGTGTGGAGAAGCTGTGCTGGTACCGGCCACGGGGAGCACTGACAACACCACTCACAGCTGAGCCCTTCCCAGGAAGGACGTTGTCTTGTCGAAGTTCTACCTGCTCTCTGAGACCAGTCAACGCCAGGGGTACAAAGACCCAGCTTGTTGCTTCAGTGAAGTAATATGTCTGAAGGGCTGGCCCATCCCGAGCTCCCAGTGAGGTCACTCAGAGATCACCCAGGCCTGCGTCACGGCTCACCTCTGCCCTCTGTCCAATTCTACTTCTCTCAAGCCCCAGGAAGGTGTTATTCCCAAGACTCCTCCGCTATAAACGTCCTGCATGCACATCTCTGTCTCAGAATCTGTTTCCCAGGAAGCCTGAGACAGTTCCTCTTCCCTCCTTGAGCATGAGCTCCCAGGCCAGAGCGGAGCTCATTACAGCAGAGGCACCTGATACATGTACTTTGAACTGAACGATCTTGACTTAGCCAGGGTTTTCCACCATGGTCCTGAATTCAAACAGGCCATACCCAAATCCCCAAAAGCATGATTTCACTCCTCAGGTCCCAGGCCCCAATTTCTGACTCCGAAAGTATGCTCTGTGGAAGTGTGTGGTATAAGGCTCTCGATTCCTGGGTCTTCATTCAACAGCTGAGAAGCCGAGTGGGATGGCCAGGACTCTGGGCCATGAAGCCAGATGAATGGGCAAGATTCTCAGCCTGGCTGTGTGACTGTGGACTAGTGTGTGTGTCTGAGTTTCCTCCGCTATAGAAACTGGGACGAGGTCACGGCAGCATTATTCAGCACAGCCCAAGAAGGGAGCAATGCAAACGTCCATCAGCTGAGGAGTGGAGAAACAAGATGTTGTATATCCATCCAACGGAATACTGTTCAGTGATATAAAAGGATGAAGCACTGATAGATGCTACGACATGGGTGACCCTTGAAAACATTATCTAAATCAAAGATGTCAAGCACAAAAGATCACATATGACAGGATTCCGCTTATATGAAATGTCCAGAGTACACAAATCCATAGAGACAGAAAGGAAACTACTGGTTGCCAGGGGCTGGGGAAGGGGATTTGGGAGTAGCTGGTAACAGTACAGGGTTTCTTTCTGGGGTGATGGAAATGTTCCGGAATTAGATAGTAGGGATGGCTGTATAACATTGTGAATGTATTACAAACCAACGGATTTTTCATTTTAAAAGGGTGAATTTCATGTTATGTGAACTATATCAAATTTTTTTTAATTGCAAAAAAAACAAACAAACTGGGGGTGATGATGAAAGCATTCACCATATAGATGGAAATGCCCAGAATCCTGCCTGGCATATAACACGTGCTTGAAAAATGTCAGTGACCACAATGATGTGGATTAGCAACATGACGGTTCCAACTGGTGGCACAAAATCTGCACGCACTGTGTGGTCCTGCACCCTGCTCCCTGAGCTAACCCTGAGGGACTTCCTACCGCAAAGATGACACCCACCTAAAAGTCACTCAAAGGAAAGACAGCATAACTTTGTTTAAGAACACAACCTCACCCCACCCCCCCAGCAAGTGGCTGAGCAACACTTGCTGGGGAGAGCAGGAGGGTGGAGCTTCAGACTGCTGTCACACCCTCCAAATAGGCCCTGTCTGATGCCAATCACCACCTCGCTTGTGCAGCAACCCTTGAACATGTTGTCACAGGTGGCAGCAAAGAATGGTATCGGTTTAGCAGCAGAAGGCAGGATAAGGAACATCAACGGAAAAGCAGGGGCTAATGACAGAGGAGCTGGTTCGTTCCAATAAAAAAACATCGTTTTTATAATGACTTGACTGGGGTGTCTGACAAAAGGGGATAACTTCAAGCTGGTGAGGAGATCTAGGAATAGAAACAGAGTGACAGGGAAGAAGCCAGGCATGCAGACTGGGGGAGAAGACGGTGTTACATTTATGCCACTCTGTTTTGTTTTTTTTTTTTTTCCTCAGGAGGAAAGGACGGGATTGATCAAGAGAGGCTCTCCAGCCCTCGAAGGGGTGGATGTCCCATCCGTTCTCCACAGCAGAAGAGCAGCAGCCCAGAGCTTCTAGGGTGTCCCAGCCTCCCGTGGCCCCTCCAGTCCAGAGCCCCGCCAGCGTGCTTTGCTGTGAAACACTCATCCACATGGCTCCCTGACTAAAAATCTTCCATGGCTGTGAGGTACCAGAGGCACTCTTAGGAGCAACGTGGTGGAATCCACTAAAACAAGACAAAACTAAACCCTGCACACGTCAATGTACTCTGGGCAGCCACTTCACTCCTCAGAATCCACCCTAGAGAAAGCCTCACCCAGGTGCCCAAGGAGGAATGCACCAAAGGCTGGCAGAAAACCAGGGCTTCAAACCGGTTCATTCCAGTTCAAACCCTTGTTGAGAATGGGCACAACCATCCTAGACATATTGAATGAGAACCCACATTTTAACAAGACTCCCAGGAGGATTAAATGTATATTTTGATTCAGTCCATCTAGAGGGGAAATGAGAATTCTCAGCAGAGGGTCAAACCGGAATGAGCCACTTTAATGCCTTCCAGCTGGGGTTTGGAGCAATAAACGTACCTCCAGGGATATCCATACCTTCAGGAGTTATTAAGTGGCACAAATGGTTAAACGCTTGACTACTAAGCCAAGGGTTGGCAGTTCAAAACCACCCAGACAGGCCTGGTGGTCTGCTGCCACAAGGTCACAGTCTTGAAAACCCTATGGAGCAGTTGTACTCTGCACATGTGGGACTGACTCTATGGCAACTAACAATAACAACATCCATACCATGGATGCAACAGGTTTAAAAGAAAAATAGAGAGAGAGAGAGAGAACTTGTTTTATTTGTAAAACCAAGGAGAGATCTCCAAGACGTATGGTTGAGGGAGAAAGGCAAGTTAACAAAGCTGGTTGCAGAACACATTCCAATACATTCAGCACGACACCATGTATGCTAAACTACATGCATTCATTAAAATTCCACATATATTTTATGGATACTTGCAGGTGTGTCAATGCACAGAAAAGTCTGGAAGGACTCATGCCAAATCCATCACTCCAAAACAGGAAGGCTGGGATTAGAGAGGGGTGGGAACTGGCAAAGGATTTTAGCCTTATCTAGAAGTTAAAAATAATTTTTAAGGAAGGCGCTTTCACGTATTACTTTGAATAACTAATGATCTCAGCCTACCCTATCTCCTTCCCCCAGACAGGGAAAAAAGACACCGTGGTTCCACATTCCAGTCAGACTCAGCCTAACGTGGCTTTTCTTCCTGAGCCCAGAGTCACACATCCAGCTGCCTATTTGAGATCTGATCTGCCCCCTAAAACTTGCTCCTATGCTTTTCCCATCTCAGGTGATGACAAGTTCATCTTTCTGTTTGCTCGTACCACAACTGAAAAGTCCTTCTTGTTCCTCTTTTGTTCTCCCTCCCATATCCAATCTGACAACACACACAGCTGGCTCTACCTTCACCATATCCAGGATCCAGTCCCTCCTCAGCATCTCCATGGCTACCTCCCTGAGCTAGGCCAACAATCTCTCTCCAGGGAATTCCACAACAGCACCCTGCTGGTCTCCCTGCTTCTCCCCGGCCTCACAGTCCATTCTCTGCACATAGCTGGAGAGATCCTGTTAAAATATGGAAGGTGATGTCCTTCTTCTCAGAATGCTCCCTGTTTAGAGGGTTAGGGTCATGGCTTCATGGGACATCCCAGTGAATTGGCCTAATATCATCTCTAGTGCTTCTATTGTACTTCCTATATCACTGCATAGTGCCTGGGGTCTTCGACGTTTGCAAGCTGCCATCCAAGATACAACAGTTGGTCTCTATTTGCCTGGAGTAACAGGAAGAAGAGTCAGGAATAGGAGGAAGACGTGGAATGTGTGGCTAACTGCCTCTATGAACAACTGCCTTACTTTGCCATAAGACCAGAACTAGATGGTGCCCGGCTACCACAACTGAACCATTACTACGAAGAATCCTAATCAAAAGGGTGAAAACTGAGGAAGGCAATTTCAAATTCTCTTGGAATCCAGAACTTCTAGAGACGTTGAGGCTGAACAAACCCTGGAACTATTGCCCTGAGATAATCTTTAAACTTTAAACCAAAAATATGCCCTGACATCTTCTTGAAACCCAATGACAGTTTAACTTAGCAAAAAATGTCTGCCTTGATCACTGGGCTTTGTTCAGATCTACATGGAATCCAAAGAGCCCTGGTGGTGCAGTGGTTACAGCACTCAAGTGCTAACCAAATGCTCTTGGTCTGAACCCACTGGCGGCTCTGGAGCAGAAAGATATGGCAGTCTGCTTCCATACAGTGTTGGAAGCCCTGTGGAACAGTTGTATTCTGTCCTATAAGGTCTCTATGAGGCAGAATTGGTTTGGTTGGTTCTATATGGACTCAAATTGACAACAGCAACTTGAAAGATTAGATGGGAAGCCTAGGGGGCAGTAAGCAGCGTTGGTGGCACAGTGGTTAAAGCATGTGGCTGCTAACCAAAAGGTCGGCTGTTCGAAACCACCAGCCACTCCACAGGAGAAAGGTCTGCTTCTGTAAAGATCTGCAGCCTCGGAAACCCTATGGGGCAGTCCTTCTCTGTCCTAAAGGGTCGCTATGAGTTGGAATCGACTCGATGGCAGTGAGTGGGGAGGAGGCGGTGAGTTTATATCAACGAGGGAGAAAGGGTTTGGAAAAGGATGACAACGATTGCACAACTAGAACGTAATCCACGCCACTGGATTGTACACGCAGAGATGGCCGAACTGGTGTGGGCCTCGCAGTACAGATTTCAACAGGAAGAAGATGAAAATGTTCCCATGGCTTCCACCTCACTCAAAGGCAAAGCCTGAGTCCCAGGCCCTGCACGATCTGGTCTCTCCCATGCCCCTGCCCCTCGCCCCGCTGCTTCAGCCACACAAGCCTCCCTCCTTCCCCAAACTATGACCAAGGCCTTGCTGTTCCAAGGCTGAAATGCTTCTCCCAGATTTCTGTGCGGCTTGCTCACTTTACACATCCATTACCCCCTCAGTCAGGGCTCCCTGGGGACCCTTTTCAATGTAACGATCCTTCCTTTCCACACCCAGCATTCCCACCTCTCTGTCCCACCTTGATTTTTTTTCTTTGACACCCTTTATATTTTATTTATTTGCTCAGGACCTGCCTCCTAGTACTGGGACACAAACTCTCTGAGAGCATGGATTTGTGTCTGTTTGGTTCACTGCTCAATCCGTGTGCCTAGGGCAGTGCCTGGTACACAGCAAGTACTTGATGACTGCCAAGTAAATGAATAAATGGGACCCTAAGTTTTCTACATCGAGCCTCAATCTGCATTATCAGTCTCAGTGGCCCCCATTTGCTCTCAATATTTAATCTTCACCAGAATCACAACAAACTCCTTACTGTTCCCTCCGACTCCTGGACATGCTCGTGTGAGTACATGTGTTCTCATCTGTCAGGAGCTCACCCCAACCCAGCCCTTGTTGTTGTTATGTGCTGTCGAGTGGGCCCTGACTCATAGCGACCCCTCCTTGGGTTTCTGAGGCGGTATCACTACGCAAGTAGACTGCCCAACCTTCCTTCCGAGGAGTGGCTGGTAGGTTTGAACCGCCAGCCTTCTGGTTAGCAGTCAAGTGCCTTAGGCACTATGCTACCAGAGCTCCTACCCTGCCCTTCTATCCACTATTCAAACTTCAATGTCTGTTCTTTCTTGAAACCCTGGCCCCCTCCCACCACTATCCTACTGGCTGAGTTAACATCTTTCTCCCCTGTAGACTTGTCTCATAGTTAATAATCTGCTACTAGAGTCCCTAGGTGATGCAAAAACTGGGCAAAATGTGGGCAGTTTGAACCTGCCCAGGGGCACCTCAGAACACAGGCCTGGCAGTCTGCTGCCACAAGGTCACAGCCTTGAAAAACCTACAGAGCACAGTTCTACTCTGACACACGTTGGGTCACAGCTCTAACTGACTCATGGCAATGACAATAAAATTGGCTCTCACAACAACAAAACTGCTACCATTTATAGAATGGCCACTGTGACAGCACGGTAATTCTCATTAAATCTGCACAACAACTGATAAAGTATTCTTCTTATCCCTATTGTACAGTTTTGAAAACTGAGCCACAGAGAAGGTGAGAGACTTCTCCAGAGTCCCCCAGTGAGAAAGAGGCAGAGCTGGAATTCAAACTTAGCTGTATGGGAGTCCACGGTCTTTCACTTTTTAGTACCAGGCTGCTCCACTGAACTGTGAGTCTGTGATGGCCAAGGCTGAGGTGTGTGCCAGATTACCAAAGAAACAAGCAACAAATGAACCAAGAATCAGAATTCAGAGCTCTGGGCTCCAGAGCCCTGGCCTGGGACTGGCCACGGTGACAGCACTGAAGCCACCCTGGGACAATGTGGCCCAGCATAAGAAGCATAGCTGGCAGAGCTTTAACATGGGCTCCGGCATCAGGCACCATCAGGATCGAGACCTGGTTCCTCTGCTTACTAAGTGTGACTCTGTCTTACTTCCACTTATACAACAGGCAGCTGGACTGTGGTCTTTGCCCTGCCCCAGAGCCTCACAGCCACAGCACTGAGACTCCTAGAGGCCAAGTCCAGAAAGCGTGTCTCTGCCCTGACCACAACTGGCTGAACCAAGAGCTACCTGCATCAAGTCACGCCGATAATCCTGGGATATCTAGGTTAAAAGGTTTGGGGAGGACTTGCCTGTGAAGTCAGGAGCGGCTGCTGAGGTGAACTGAGGACAGAGAAAGCTGCTCGGTGCCAAGTGAGAAGAATCACCCAGAAGCAGAGGGATGCAAAGATGATCTGTAGAGAGAGGACTTCCTGGGACCCTAGGGACCCAGGCACTGGTTCATCTGTTCTTGACACCTAATGCAGCCCTGCCCTTGGCTTCTGTGACACAGCCCCTCTCAATAGTCTTGATAAAGTAATGAAGTCCCCCCTCCTGGTAGAGCTAGGTTGAGTTTATTCATTTATTGTAACCGAGTCCTAAGTAATACAAATACTTACCTTGTACAGCTGTTATAAGAAAGAAAAGTAATATATGAAAAGTGTTTACCTTGGTCCCTGGCCCATGGTAAATAACACCCAATACATGGTTGCTAATATTCTTATAATAATCAAGCCACAAGGACATACTATTACAGGAACTGGAGAAATTAATCATCTCGTCTAGTCATCTAAATTACTCTTCCCTGGGAGGGTGACATGCTATGGGGTTCTGTCCTTGGTCCTATCCCAGGCCATAATTTCATCAGTGGCTAGATCCTGCTGTTGAAAGCTGTTTTTTCTGAATCCGCAGATGACATTCAGATGGGTGGCACATGGAACAAACTGGATGACGGAATCTGGGTTCAGATCAATTTCTACAGGCTAGAAATGGGTCAAGTACAGCTGCATGGAATACATCACAGCCAAGGTAAAGGTCCTGCACAAGGGTAGGCACTAGGAGAGGAGTCTGGCTGGAGCAAAGTTCATGAGACAAAGACAGTACTTAAGATGATGTGCTCAGTATGAGCTAACTGTGTGGTATGGCTGCCAAAATCGACCACTATCACAGCAAACACAATGAGAGCATGAGAAATACTTGCTCACAACAAGAGAGAGGGAAATAACATTTTTTTTTTTTTTAAGTATCTATGGTGTGCCAGGCCAGTGTTCAACACTTGACATACACTATTTCAGCTGATATTCTCAAGAATTCTACAAAGCAGGTATTATTATCGTTATCCCTATTTAACATGTGAGGAAGCTAAGTCTTTGAGAGGTGAAGGGACTTGACCAAGTTAGCACAGAGCAGAGCAGTAACTATTGGAATCCAGTTCTAATTAGAAAGTACACTTGATCCCTACTCTGATCAGTTTAGAGTTGGAATACTCGGTCTGATCCTGGGACAATGTGTTTTTAAAGAAAAAGGAGAGTAAGATAAATGTTATCCATATGAAAGTGACCAGGAAGGCAAAGAGACAGATTACCATCAGCAGCTTGAAAGGTTAAATAGGAACCTAATGGGGTAATGTGTTTACTTTATTGGGGGAGAACCAACTCAGAGAAGGAGGGTGAGAATGGCTGTCAAACTCAAAGAATGTAGTAAGTGTCATTGAATTGTACGTGTAGAAACAGCTGAATTGCTTCATGTATTGTTGAATACATTCTCAACAACACCAACAAAATAAATTTAAAAAAAAAAAAAAAAGGCTCTAACTAGAAGTTACACTGAGACTGAATTGAGTAGGGAAGACCAAGAGCAAGAGCACCTATCAGCCCCTCCTACCCAAATCTATAGAAATGACACCATTTAGAAGCTATCACCTTTCACCATCTTTATTCAACCTGTGTGCTGAGCAAATAATATGAGAAGCTGGACTCATTAACAACCTGCAATACGCAGATGTCACAACCTTGCTTGATAAAGGTGAAGATGACTTGAAGCACTTACTGGTGAAGATTGAAGACTATACGGTCTGCAGTATGGATTACATCTCAACATAAAGAAA